TAGAAGATGTTCGTAATACTCTGTGAAACAGATTGGGGGACTTCACCACACATATTTAAACACAACACAAATCTACGGACAAGACACAATACGCAGAAATCACAAACAAACGTACATATCAGATTAAGTGAATGGATCCGGGGCTAGCCGTAACAATCTGAACGACAGATTCACCCTACCTGCAGAGAAGTGACTCTGACACAGTGAATAGCCATGATATCCATATGACGTTATCTAAACGTCACAGGTCATGAGGTCACATCAACAAACAAATGTAAACACCATCATTATGATCATTATCAACATTACAAGACACAATGTTACATTGTAAACAATAGCCTTCTTGTAGCCTTTAGGACTGTATAATCCGTACAGCAACGTCTTATCGCTTCTTCCAATGATTTTTCACAAAAATAACATCATCTACAACTCTAGATTTGACGTCGGCATATTGGCACTATTTTGTGCTTCGGTCGTGTCTATTTCAGATATACACAATCAATTCTGTTAATGTTTTTAGCGTGGGGATTGACTAAAAGTTAATTTATTTCAGTTCTAAACAAAAATTTAAAACTTTAACGCAATTTTAAAAAAATAGCCAAATTATGGCTGGGATTTCTGACGAAAATGGCTATTCACTGTATACGTGCGAAAAAAAAGCCAGCTACCATTTAATTTTCGTACGTTAGTTACGTACGTAGCCGTAAGTGTCCACTTGGCTGTACAGTCCCGGGTCTGTAGTGATACAGACTTCACTCAAAAATGAAAACTAACAATGAGGAATATAACCCAGAGAAAAATATACTGTAATACTAGTATGAGTCATGATCTACGATATGCCACATGAAATATGAATGTAAAATACCTATACAAATAACCAAATCGGTAAAATGTATGAAAAAGCATTGCAGTCTAAAAACGAAATGGTCTGCTATATTACAGTGAGAAACATTTTAAGTAAATAATTTTGTTTCATTGATATTTTATTACCTTATTTGCTTAATATTACGTTCATTTTAACTGAAAGAAAATTAAATGCGATGTTCTATAGGGGCCATTTAACTGGACAGAGGCTAATGAACCAGCGTCTTTCATCTAGGTGCAATATTGTACCCGCGTCCTGCAATTGATAGACTGTTCGTGGCTTTACGCATGTAAGAATTATCGTATCTTACCGAAGTTTTTCTGTATTTTTTGAGGTGACGTGAAATCACGTGCATGTTCTAATTGTAGTTCGGCGGCTATTTTAAAATGTAGAGAAATTTCGCGTAGCAGTTGGGTATTATTAAATGATATAATTATGCGGTAAAGTTTAACTTTTATTTCAATGGGAATTTATTATATGTTTATTATGTTTATGCTATGTGCAGTACATTATGGGGAGGGTTTATTTGGAAATTAAGGGAGTTACATATTGGCCAGTAACTTTTTTGTCATCAAATCATGACAAAACCTGCTCAAAGGAAGTCCTTAGAACGATCTATTACCGTGGCTGGAGCAAGACGAAAGACATCACACTGACCAGCAGTGAATATTCGCGAGGCCGCGACAATCACTGATAAGGATGACATCGATGCGACTTAATGAGCTACAAATATTAACTTTTTTCCTCCGACAAATTAAATGCAAAACATTTTTTTTAAGCACTAGAAAAATAAATAAAGACATTTGAACTATTTGTAGGTAAAAATTATTTCCTATTTAGTGTAAATGGCTATTAAAATGAGTAAAAGGCTCCATTCCGCCCGAACCAGTAGGGTCTTATGTGAATAATGCACGCGCCATAGAGCCAATGATTGACGCCGGGTGGTTGAAGGTAGTCATCTTATACAGAGATATTAGAAGACTTTCGTAATCCTCTGTGAAACAGATTGGAAAGACATCAGTAGTGGAACCATTTCTACTATTCAGCCAGCTTTGCTGCACGTTGATTTTAAATTAAAGTTTTTAAAGCCCCGATGTGCCATAATAATAAATATTATGAACAATAGCCATTCTTCTCATATACACGATTAAATGAACAAATAAATAATTAACCGAGAAGTTTTCTTGAAATCGAAGTTCATGGATAAAACAAGATACTATTCAGTGGGTGACCGAAGTTCTGAAACGGAAAGAGATGAAACCAACGCGCATGATCTGAAAGTCTGTATTCACCTGTCAGTCTGATGGTTTTGTCTTGCAACATAAAGAAATGAAAGGGGGTTTAAAGCCCTACCTTTATCTACTGATTGAGTTAATGAAGACGGAAGGGCGATCGATACATACGCCCGTCTTAACAGTCCAGCACCTAGTAATGTTTAATTAACATCTCGAGTACAAAACGTTTGAGTACTGAAACTAGTAGTTATATTATCAGCACACTCCAAAACGCAACTGTTAAGTAATGCTTTTGGGGACACCGCCAGAGGGTACCGTTCACATTGCCGCCAAATTGCTTTCATAACAAATCTCGAGAACATCTACAAAACCTGTGTCAAAATGTTCCTTAGGATTCCCAATGACAATATAAATGCTTCTGAGTAATCAATTTTGAGGATTAACCCACCATTGGCTAGAGAAATGAAATAAAATGAAATGAAATGGGGTTTAACGTCCTACTGTTTTGCTCCGAACTGGGCTAATGAAGACGGGCATACGCCGTACGTACAGTGTGCTATGAGGGAAATTTTGCCCGGACAGCGGCACTACGGCCTACTCTTAAATCGAATTTCAACTGTCAAGGGATCTTTTACGTGCACGCCAATGTGTACACGGGACCTCGGTTTTTCGTCCCATCCGAACGACTAGACAGCTGTCCTTGTCAGACCCCTCCGTCCTGCATCACTGACAAGGGAGAACCACTATTGGCCAGAGACGTCCAATTCCCTTTAAATGCATCTCAGTACATACTTTTAGTACATGCACAAAATAAGTATCAAACTGGTACTTGTGACCCCCTGGTGAAATATAAATCCTCCTTCAGTAGTCAATAGTGGGGATTAACCCACTTATGCGTGGGTCGAAGGGTGCCATTGGTCGGCCACACCGAATGTAAATTAAATGCATGTCTCAGTATAAGCACAAAATGGGTATCAGAGTGTTGCTTGGGTACTCGTGTCGCAACATGACCCCTTCTGAATTGTCAAATATGGGTACTGACCTCTTTCTGGGTAAGGTTCTTAACGCACACACCAAAATGGGTGTCGAAATGTTTCTTAAGACTCTCAATGGAATGTCTGTGTTAGAGATTAACTCCGTTCTGAGTAGGTCAAAGTTTACCATGGGTTTGCGCTGCTAGATTTTATGCACACGGTTGAGCACACACCGATCCGCAGTGAATATTCGCTATGCCGCGACAATCACTGATAAGGATGACATCGATGCGACTTAATTTGCCTCAAATATTAACTTTTTTCCTCCGACAAATTAAATTCTAAAACATTTTTTTTATGTATAAGAAAAATAAATAAAGACGTTTGATGCATTTGTAGGTAAAAATTATTTCCTATTTTAGTGTAAATGGGTATTAAAATGAGTAAAAGGCCCCATTCTGCTCGAATCAGTAACGTCTTATGTAAACAACGCACGCATCATTGAGCCAATTATTGACGCCGCGTGATATGACGTCAAGTGTTATAGGCAGTCATCTTTTACAGAGATATTAGAAGAATATCGTCATACTCTGTGAAACAGATTGGGTTGAGTACCATATGTATGTCAAACTGTCTACCCCGGGGGAGAGAGAGAGAGAAATAGGGTTTAACGTCCACTCGACACAAACTAGGTCATTTCGGGACTAACATATGGTTTAATTTTATTTACATAATTCGCTTGCGCGTAGGGGTCTTTAGCAGTGGGAGGAAACCGGAGGACCCGGAGAAAACCCACGAGGTTGGACAGGCGACCCTACTCCTTGCCATGTACAACCGGGGATTCGAAACCACGCCAGTCGACTCAATGACAGACTTTATGATACAGCGCGCGCGCGCACGCTAACCATTCAGCCATCCAACCCCCCCAACCCCGGGGGGAATATAAAAGTAATCACTTGTTGGTAAATTCGACTGATGTTGTTGAGTCCTTTTTATAGTTCCACTTGTTAACTTCGTTCTATTTATTGTTGCCTGTAACGTCTGCTATGAAAGACCATTTGATCCTATTATCACTAATTAAAAATACCGAGCCTAATGTAGCGACAGAACTTTCGCATAATTCCAAATATAATCGGTTAAGCGGCGTTTTCAACAACTTGACCAACTATGTCAGGTCAGGCGAATTCAGTCCGTTAACTCTGAAATCAGAAGCGGTAGGCCAACGTCACCTAGCCTATGTTACTCCCCGTATACACCAAATTATAGCCTCGGACAGCCCTAGTGTAGCCGCCAACCCTGAACAGACAGACAAACAAACAACAGTCACAAATATTAGTATAGATTATTCATAATTGTTTTTCGGCACTATTTTCTGTCCAGTGCTCACACCGGCATTGCCTGTATCGCCAGTCCGCCCCTGCTCATTTAGAATCAAGCTATTTATAATATCCATCTGTTTTAATTATCCGATACTTAAAGGCTCAATACCACTCTTGTTGTAACTGAATAATATGTCCCAATCTTTATTCTGGTCAAAATATTGTACTATTTTACAATATTCCAATTAATTGATGATACAAATTTCATCTTAACACACCTAATTTAAAAAATTGGAAAAATTTCAACTTAATGATTTGAAAAGACTGACGTAAAGCTTTTCAAATGTGACTTGGATTTAAAAATATTTTTGAACCCTCTGGACAAGTAAAATAGGATTTAATGGATAATTTACACAACAGGTAGGACACTAAACATATAGTACTTAGAATAAGGCTATTTTTTTATTTTCTGGAGCTGTCAAGCCAGCAAGAGTGTTATTGTCACTTTAATAAACCATGGTAATTACTTTTGGTACGTGAATATTTAATCAACCCTTTGTGATTTAATGATAAATAAACAGACTTTATTTACAATTCTAAAAATAGATAAGATGTAGCATTCCATTTAATTCTTAACACTTTTCACAAACATTAATACAAAGAAAAAAAAAATTGCAAATACATAAATATATGAAAGACAAACATTTTCTGTCGATTTTCAAACAATGAATCAGTTTGGTGAAGGATGCAAGAAGTCAAATCCTTTTGCCTGGTGACCTGTAGCAAACAATGTAACTTTCTCAACTGATCAGAGTTAAAATTATTTTTTGTTAATTATTAATTTCATGGCATTTTATGTGTTGCTGTATTTTGATGTTTGACAACTTCAAAAGTTTACTTCCATAATTAAAGCTAATGTTGAGAAATAATCAATTGTGTGTTAATGTGTCGATACAATCTAGTATACTGTCCACTGGTTTGATTGGAGACTGCAATATTTTCAGCCTTTTATTCAAATCAGCCCTTTCTTGATTCAACCCAATTAACAATTAATTTGAAAATTTAATAGTGTGTGACTGATTAATTTTGATAAAGAGTGTCCAATTTACAAGTACTTAATTTCCTGACCACTGTTCAAAAATTAATCATTATACATCAATAATCAATTGGGTTGTTTATTTTCTAAAAGTAATTGAAAAATTAAACACTTGTAAATTGGAGACTCATTATCAAAATTAATCAGTCGGCTTTAAACTGGAAACAAGTACAAATTAGATGATTTTTGGTGATTTTAAAAGATTTTTAGGAATTTTTAAACAAAGATTTGATATTGAATGAATGTGAAAGGAATTAGTGCTAAATATACAAGATGATATGATACCCGGGTTACAGAGACGATTGACACAAAATCTCTATCAAATGTAAAACATGTCTCGAAATGAATTATAAAGACTGTTAACTAGTTTGACTTTGAGAAATTTTAAACCGTTAGTGTCACAAAAACATTTTCTATATACATGGTAATCATAAATTCTACAATAAATAGGACGGCTTCGGTAACAAACAATTATGTTTCATTGAACAACGAATATTTGATATGATTATGCAAAATACAAAAATGTACAGCAAGGTTAACAAAAACCAGAATCACTTTCCTATTTTGATAAATTATCATCAGTTATGGCATAATCATTAGTTAATTACGACATCATTGTCAGTTAATAATGACATCATCATCATTGAATAATGATATCATCATTGGATAATGGCATTATCATTAGTTAGTCATAATGTCATCATCATCAGTTAATAATGATATATCATTGAATAATGGCATCATCATTAATTTAGTTTAAGACATCATCATCAGTTGAAAATGGCATCATCATTGATCTGTGATACCATCTGGGACTAATCATATCAATAGTTAATGACATCATCAGTTGATAACGACATCATCATAAGCTAATAATGACATCATCAGTTAATCACGACATCATCATCAGTTAATCATGAAATCATCATCAATTAATCATGACATCATCACCAGTTAATAATGGCACCACCAATTGTCTACGACTAACAATGAAAAAATGCCATAATCAGCTATATAATCATGTGATATTTGTTTTAAAGAAACTTATCTCTGAAATCATGTATCACATCATGATAAGTGGCCTGGAAATAAGGCACTTGTCACAGACATTGGCTGGCATAAATTCAAACTGGTCACACTCTGGAGTTGGTCATCTTCTATGTTTTTTTTATTAATTTCATTATTACATGTTCGGTACATTTTGTCTTCAAAAACTAAGATCATTATTTCCAGGCTTAATCATAAGTTAATATTATTGACAACAACGTCAGTTACTAATGACATCATCATCAGTTACTAATGACATCATCATCAGTTACTAATGACATCATCATCAGTTACTAATGACATCACCATTAGTTACTAATTACTAATGTCATCATCATCAGTTACTAATGACATCACCATCAGTTACTAACAACATTATCATCAGTTACTAATGACATCACCATCAGTTACTAATTACTAATGACATCATCATCAGTTACTAATGACAACACCATCCGTTACTAATGACAACACCATCAGTTACTAATGACAACACCATCAGTTACTAATGACAACACCATCAGTTACTAATGATATCATCAATTACTAATGACACCATCAGTTACTAATGATATCATATTCAGCAAATTAAGTAGCAGGAGTAAATGAAACACCAAATGGTATGTTTTCTTTTATCCCCACCCAAATCAGTCTATGCTACATTGAAGAAATGATTTCATTGTTTAAGCATAAGATTCTGGTACACTGTTATTATACTGCATTGTTTCAAAATCAGGACCCTGAAAATAAAAGACAAAAATCAATAAATTACAGACAAATATGATAGACATACACTGGAATAGGTTATTAATGAAAGATCACGATTCATTTAATAATATAATCAATTCTAAAACATAATTTTAATACGTAGATCTCCTCTTTGATCACTAGTCTGACTTCCCGATTGACATTATACAAAGACAGATTCTCCAGATGAAATTACTTACAATTACGGTGCTACCACTTTGAATTTGATACTGATCATTTATGAACAAATGACGATATCTAAATCATATTTCAATATGCATATTTATTATTCTTTTTAAAAGGTTAGCATGACATCCTGTTTGGCATTATATAACATAGTATAAAGATAGATTACGCCATTCAAATCCCTGACATATACGGCGCTTACACTGTAAAGTTGAAAAGTGGATACTGTTCATTTACGAACAAATGAATTGTACTTATGAAAACATATTGTTGTCGCAAATATTCAATCTGATTGGAACTGGACCATTTTTAGACTGAAATTCCCATTAGATATTGGGGGGAGGGGGGCAAATGGTTAACATGTGTGTTTCACATGGCGTGGTTTCTATTCCCCGATCGTACGTGACAAGGAGTACAGGGTCCCCTGTCTAATCTTGTGTGTTTTCTCCGAGTCCCCCCATTTCCTTCCACTGAAAAAGACTCCTATGCACAAGCGAATTAATGAAATAAAATTGAACCATATGCTGGTCCCGAAATGACCTAGTTTGTGTCCAGTGGACGTTAAATAAACCCCCATTTCTCCCTATTAGATATTCATCTTTCACAATGTGTATTTCACATCCACATGATAACTTTAGCCTCTAAAGCACTCACAAGTTTTTTCAGCATGATCAAGGGCAATAATTCTGTAATTAATTATAAAATTTTTTGAAGGCTTTATCTCATGCACAAAAACATTACATATAATTTTTAAGTCCATCAGATAATAATTTGTGGGGATACGAAAGTGAGTCTTTGTGGCCACTGAAGACAAATTAGTTCATATTTGGAGTTGGGGTTTAATGTCCACTCGACACAAACCTGGCCATTTCTCTACTAACATATGGTTCAATTTTGATTCAATAATTCACTTACGCGTAGTGGTCTTTAGCTGTGGAAGGAGAAAACCCATGAGGTTGGACAGACCTACGGAGAAGCGAAACCAAACCACTTTACTCAATGACAGACCTTATGATCTAACATGCAGACGTTAAACTATTCGGCCATTCAAAACCCTTTGTTATCAGAGTGTAAACCACTGATTCTGCTGTTAATGTCTTAGCCAATGCATTACCTGGAACTGTTGCTACTACATTGTAAGTGTGCTAAATAATGGCAGTGACGTAATTAAAAAAAGCTTGAAAATAAATTTTCCCAGTTTGTCTGGACAGGTCGTCGCCCTTTAAAACTGGGTGGGGCTGTTGACATGATCTGATTCCTAAGATTTTTTCAGAAGATTTAAAAAGCAAACAAATATTCAATCCTGTAGAACTTCTGAAGAACAGCTTTTTAAAAATCATTAAATAGTTAATTTGATCAGATAAACAATCTTTTTATAACAAAGTTCGGTTCTTTATAAGTCAAGTTTTCCTATTTTAGTTTCCTTACAATCGATTACAATCCTACATAATAAAACAAAACAGGGTCTGTGTTTTAATGAGATTTTTTTTATTACATGTACTGGTAAGTTTTGTTTACGTCTAGACAAAATCCTCTTTTTATAATAAAACAAGTTCTTTATGAGATTTTTTTTTTGTGTTAAACATAGGTTGCTTGGCAACGAAAAAATATGGCCAGCAGCTAAGTTGTCCAAACAGATAAGCTCAACAACTTATTAAAATATCAAGAGGTCAAATTTAGGTCACCAGAAGTCATTGTCAGTTTCAGAAAATAACAGGCATGTATCCAGACAAGGGGGGGGGGCAGGGAGTCCCTTACCCACACCCCACTGGTGCTCTTCTGGCGAACCGACGAATCTGATACAGTAGAACTTGTATTAAAGATGGGTTCCCAGAAAAGTATTTATCGGGTGGTTATTTCCAATAAAAGTATGGCAATTTTGGTATATATGGAAAGTAGAGATATCCAATCTTACTAGAAAAATACTGGATTCCCCGAAAAACACTTATGGAGTGTATACAGGACAAAAATGTAAGGGTTCCCCTAATCAACAGCCCGACGATTATGACCTTCTGCACGCACGATGTCAAAGGTCACAAGCGAACATTGAGCGCTTGATGTACAAGTTAATAAACTTTATGAAAGTTGGACGTACAATACTTTCTGAGATAAAAATGACGGAAAAAGACGCGGGTAGTGGATAATCCGAGAATTTAATTAGGATTCGATATTTGTAATAAATAGTAAGCGATTAAAGACAACATCGTCTTATGTATGCAATGATTTCTCCTCTGACTCCCAAGACGTGACGTAAACATGACCTGGTTTGATCAAATTTTAATAGCAGGGCATTCCTTCGCAATTACAATGTTTGAGAAGGATTTGAAGCATAATTATGACAAATTAATTAGTTTGAATATGTTTTTGGTCCATATATACCATTAAATCACCCAGTTTGTACGCGGGAACCCATCTTTAAGCAAGCACCCAAGGGAAATTTAAAAATGCTTGCTTAATGGAGGTACTCTTTGACTAGAGGTATCCAATATTGCCCCAACCCCTGCCACAAAAAATAAACATATAGATTGCATATATTTTTTTATTCATGTAGTATAACAATAGCAGGCATGTATCCAGAGAAGAGGGGGGGGGGCAGGGAGTCCCTTACCCACACCCCACTGGTGCTCTTCTGGCGGACTGACGAATCTGATATATTTAAGTATTGAGAATTATGTGTTTGAAATGCGACGATTTTTTCTCTCCTACATTCATGGAAATAACACCGTTTTGGTTGACTCCACCGTAATACTTTACATGTTTTTATGCAGCTAAATGAGAACATTATCTCAAAAAGCTCCATTTATCAAATTCGCAGGAAATTCTGCCTGACCATGGACCTCCCGCCGTTCAAATTCCTGGATACGTCCCTGATTAGGGTCAATAAGCTTCTATTCCTTTTAGTAAACTTCAACAACAAATATTTTTTAAGTTATGTGTGGCATATCGTGTTCTAAATAATATTTATGATTATACAAAATACATTAATAATAATACAATCTATTCTTTGAATGACATTTAGTAATTGGAACATAATCGAATAACACACTATTTATGTATAACAATTACTCTGATTTATTTTACAAAGACATTTCAACAAGATTTCACAAGTGTTATATGCTTGATAATGACTTGTGAAATCTAGTTGAAATATCGCAGTGAAATAAACCATAGTAATTATTATCCATAAATAGTGTGTTATTCGATTAATACAATCTCAGATCTGTAATAAAAATAAATTAAAATCCATCACCAGTATCTTTAAAGAATAAAATCAGAATTAAGCTAATTAAGCTTATACTAACTAAACAAAAAGGATTAATTACAGTAAGACTATAGCATAACCTCCTAAACAAACAGGTCTTGTTCATAATTAAGAGGAAACAAGTTGACTCAGTCATCTAACACCCTCCTTTTACACAAAAATGCCCAACCAACGCCCTCCTTTTACACAAAAACGCCCAACCAACGCCCTCCTTTTACACAAAAACGCCCATCCAACTCCCTCCTTTTACACAAAAAGTAAGTTAAAAAAAATTTCCATAAATAATTCAAAAGTTATTAAAATGTAAAATTTCTAATTAGCAAAGGCACATACTAAGAACTATGATTGGTTGATATGGGTACAGTTTCATAAGATATCTGGAGTGGTTCCTGATATAAGCTCCAGAAAATAAACACGACCATGATGGAAGGACAGAACCCATTTCAATAAACCTCCCCCTTAATTTCGTTCTGAGTGGGATAAAAATTATTCAATTGGACAAAGTTCACATTTCACAACGTGTGTACAAATTAAAGTTTCATAAAGATATCTTGAATGGTTTCTGAGATATACCAAAAACTTTATCATGGAAACAAAATGTAACCAACCCCATCGAGCAGTATTCATATTACTGGTAATAGGCACTTTTATAAAAAATAAATAAATAAAAGGAAATGAAATGAAATGGGGTTTAACGTCCTACTGTTCTGCTCCTATACTGGGCTAATGAAGACGGGCATACGCCATACAGTGTGCTATGAGGGAAATTTTGCCCGGGCAGCGGCACTATCGCCTACTCTTATATCGAATTCCAACTGCCAGGGGATCTTTCACGTGCATTCCAATATATACACGGGACCTCGGTTTTTCGTCTCATCCGAAGGACTAGACAGCTGTCCTTGTCAGGTCTTCCGTTCTGCACCACTGACAAGGGGAAACCAAGTCGGAAAATCCTGATGAACTTTCTCAGCCAATGCAGGGATCGAACATCTGACCTCCAGGCTAGCGAGCCAGCATCTTAACCAACCAGCCACCGTGGCTCCCATAAAAGGAAATAAATTATTATTTGGTGGCAGATTAATTACCATAATGTTTCATATATCAAGCACACTCTGCCCCAAGAAATGTATGTATGTTCGTAATTCACTGTCCACCATTGTCCATTGTTAATTGATAACATAAAATTTATTTACTTTTTATTTTTAGAGAGAACTTTGCATGTCGTTCAATTTGATTCAGTTTATTGAATAAATATTGTGTTTAATCTAACATAATTGAGCAATTAACAGTTATGTTCTGTGTATTTCCAGTTCAATTACTAAATTAAATTGGTACAGTTTACACAGTGATCTTCACAGGTGTATAATATAGAATACCATGAATGATGTTGCTTGATAAAGACCAGGGTCCTTGGTTAACCTATTCAAAATGTCACTCAGAGAGAGAGAGAGAGAGAGAGAGAGAGAGAGAGAGATATGGGGTTTAACTCCACTAGACACAAACTAGGTCATTTCCGGACTAACACATGGTTCAATTTTATTTCATTAATTCGCTTGCGTGTAGGGGTCTTTAGCAGTAGGCGTCTTCATACTATATTTTCATCCTAAACGTGTTTTAAATAGGCAAGTGGTTTTCTGGGGAGATTTTTTAAAACAGGGTTGTAATGAGAGAGAGAGCGAGGAGAGATGGGGTTTAAAGTCCACTCAACACAAACTAGGTCATTTTGGGACTAACATATGGTTCAATTTTATTTCAAAACCACGCCAGTTGACTCAATGACAGACCTTATGATACAGCATGTGCTAACCAATTCGGCCATCCAAACCCCACTCAGTAATAGAAATGAAATGAAATGGAGTTTAACGTCCTACTGTTTTGCTCCGAACTGAGCTAATGAAGACGGGCCTTGGTAACAGAATCCAGTGTATATTCTGATCAATTACTAAAAATCATTGGAAAAAAAAATGGTCTATTTCTCTGCTCCAACCTAGTTAAAATATCACTCAGAATAGAGTGGTTCTCGGTGTATATTCTGTTCATTTATTAAAAACCATTGAAACAAATAAACTAATCAGAAGACTTGAAAGAGTCAGTCTATTGTCAGGAAAGGTTAGGGAGGTCATTTATCCCAGCACCATTCATTTATCAGGAATTCCAATAATGTGGCATCTAACCCTAACCCAGAAAGGGCGGACACCACCAAAAGCTTGTTTTATAAGGAATTATTCATGAATTTCTGACACACTCTAACAATAGAATCTGCTGGGAGGATAACTCAGGTCAAAAATGGTTGGGATTGCTTATTATGGTTGAAGAAAAATTAGGGTGGCTGATCTGTCGGGAGGATAACTTCGGGTCAAAAATGGTTGGGATTGCTTATTAAGGTTGAAGAAAAATCAGGGTGGCTACTGTATCAAAAATTACTTTACTAACGGCAGAAGCATTAGAATAAATATACGCCGGCAAAAATATTTATGGAAAAACTGAATTCTATCGAATAACCAAAGCAAAATGGAGACCATCACCTTAAAATAATATCTGAAAAAAGGGGGTAATTTAAATAAAGGTAAAAAAAAGGTTTTAAACTTACAAACCCTTATAAAAGATCATCCTTAAGAATAAAAGTAGTTAAGAAAAATTATAAATCATTTGTAATGAATTTTTACGTTTGATTTCTCGGCTCCAACCAGGCTAATGAAGATGTGCATACACCATACAGTGTGCTATGAGAGAAATTTTGCTTGACAGCAACGCTACGACCTACTCTTATATCAGGGAATCTTTTATGTGCACACCAATATGTACATGTGACCACGTTTTGTTTTGGTCCCAGCTGTAATTGTGTCAGGCTCTGCATCCTGCACCACTGACAAGGGGAAACCATGACCTCCAAGCTAGCAAGTCAACAATCTTACACACTTAGCTACCGTGGCTCCCTGCATGAGCACTAAAATCAAACTCAATGAAAAGGCTGTATTCTTCGAGTATTTCAGTTACGTTTTCTTCAATAAAGCCCACAACTTTAATACAACTAATAAAGTCTAAAATACCTGATTTAATTTTTTGAATTCCACAACTTGTGATAAGACGTATTCTAGGACGTGTTTAGCATCACGATTATCTGGTGGCAGATTCTGCATCACACCAAGAATATCCCCACATTCCCTTGTATAATATTCTAGATCATCATCAGTACCTGAAATAATTAGAATTTATTCATATTAAAAATGTCCACATTGCTTCAAATATAGTAAAATTAAAAATGCCCACATTGATTCAACTCTAACTCATATAAAAAATGCCCACATTGATTCTACTCTATTGGAAGCAACATGACACAATTATTTGCAAAGCATGATAAAGACAAGAGACCCCCCGTTGAAATATCACTACATATATAGACATCCAGATGACTCGAAGAGACCCCCTGATGACTTGTAGCTATAAACATTATTTTTGAAGAGCTCACCAGTTGAGCTCCCCACTATATGTTATATCCATCTTGAGGACACTTAATATGATCTATAAACTTGTGAATTGATTCAGTTGATTAAGTTGATGTATTTGTGGAATAGATCAATTCTTTTACACTGTACTTAATTAAATGCCTTAAAAGAATGTTGGAAATATTGATATTTCTCATATCGTAATATCAATCCAAGATTGATTATTTAACATTCGATTAATTAAAGATGCATTATGTAAGAGCTAAATATGCCTACTGAAGGTCTTTTTTCTGATTATAATTTAGACAACTCTCTAGACCAACAGATGGATTGGATATTAAATGGATTACACCATCAGCCCCACTGTTTATCATCGTAGCAATGGCAATTGAGACTATGCTATGATCGTCAAAACTTCAAACATTCATAAGTCTTTCTTTAGGCCTGAAATGTTATCTAAATTATCAATTAGACATTAATTAACTTATCCAGGCCATAATAAACTCTCGATGTCAAGGCTAGCCTTCGATGTTGGCTGGATTATATTCCTATATGCCGCTAACGGCCATTGATAATTAAATCAAAAAAAGTGGATAATCGAGACTATGCTGTTTATATTAATGATTTTAGTAATGATGATCGAGACCATGCAAAAATTTCACCCGCTTCTTTCTTGGCTCATAGTGGATCAATTTGACTGAAATTTTAAGCAAATTACCTTTACACTATTTATTTTTTAACTATTATAGTGAGAACTGACATCTCTTTATCTTATCTCCCATAATGTATCTTTAATATCATCTAGTCTTATACAATGGATTCAATTGAAATAAATGGTGTATTTATCCATTTTTATGATGTAATTTAAATCATTCAGGTTTATAATGTAATGTGAATTATTTGTGTTTATAATGTAATGTGAATCATTCGAGTTTATGATGTAATGTGAATCATTTGTATTTATGATATGAATAGTCCATGTTGATGATGCAATGTGATTCATTTACATGTATGTTTAGAATGTAATGTGAATCATGGTGTTTTGATGTAATGTCACAAGGAATAAAATGGTTATAATTAACACCAGTAACATGAATTAGATGCCCAAGATGTTGCAAAATGTTTAATTCCTCATATCTGAATGGAATGGAACCATTTGTGGACTGCTATTCGTTTTAGAGATTCAACTTTCACAATAATGTAGCAGGGGATAAAAAAATTCCCCAAATGATGATCAGAAATTTGAAAAGATATATCTTACATTTGTTAGTTATCTGTGCTATTCTGGCCTTCTCTGATGAGAACTGGTCGTCGAGATCAAACAGTTCTAACGGTGGTGGGGGCAATTCTCTGAAGTTCGGTGGAAACGTCTGTTGAAGAAATAAATCAGAATAAAATAATATGGTATTTTTTATTTATCATAGCTAAATGTATGGAGAATTTGCCAGGATAGTTATAGTTTATGCCTATCATTAAACCTTCCATTTCACTCACTACATAAACTTTCCATGGAACCTGTCGACCAAGGCACACATCCTAATTTTAGACTATCTCGGATAGCAATGGACACAGTAAGCTTGTTTTCATATCAACCTAAAAGCAAATTTCCATTATATGGGTCCAGGTCATAGGGACACAGTTAGTGGATGTCCATATTAACAGTGAATTGTCATTATGTCAATCCGGGCCAGAGAGAGAGAGAGAGAGAGAGAGAGAGGTTTTAACCCCACTTTACACAAACTAGGTCTTTTCAGGACTAACATATGGTTCAATTTTATTTCAATAATTTGTGAGCACGTAGGGGTCTTTAGCAGTCAGAGGGAACTGGAGAACCTGGAGAAAACCCAGGAGGTTGGACAGACAACTCTACTCCTTGTCATGTACAAGCGGGGAATAGAAACCACGTCACTTGACCCAATGACAGACCGTATGAAGGAACGCCCCTCCCCCCCACCACAAATGTGCAAAGTAAGGCCGTGTTGAATTGATTCCTTGTTTCTCCTGCCACCACTCAGGCAATCATGTGCGGTAGTGCGGTAAACACAACACAAAGTGGGTTTCAAAACACAAAGTGGTCTGGCATAATACCTATATAGTCTGAGGGTTGTGTACCATTTTTAATAATATTATAAATAATCTAGTTATATTATTGGTTAGAATAAAAACACAGATAATATTTAATTAAATAAATTTAATAACAAACTAAAATTTGGTAACAAGCGGCTTCTTGTTTAACTTTTTAAAAAATGAAATAACCATATTTTGATATAAATTTTCCGTATTCTTGTGTTAAAATACAATGGAAACATTCCAGTTAGACGATATTTGATTCGCTTGTTGAGTTATAGATGGTTTCGATAATATCATCGAACGTGAAAGTGCTGGGAATAACCACCAAAGTCGAGTCGAGATAAGTAAATTCGCGTACCGGTCGGCCTAATTTATTTATTGATGTTCAAGGAAATAATAGTGGTCCCGTTTGTTCGTTGGTTCGTTAAACTCCACAAACGAGCGAACGGGGCCACTATTATTTCCTTGAACATCAATAAATTAGGCCGACCGGTACGCGAATTTACCTATATCCCGGCATAGCTCACCATTTTGTAAGGCGTGCGTTATTTATTACACAAGATATGATTGGGTAATACTTGAATAATAATGACGTGTTATAATTTTAGCCAATGGAAAATTGATTATTCAGGTTCGCGGTTGAATATTAGCGATTGTCTTACAGTTTATAATATGCTTTCTCATTAGCCGAAATGACTGCTACACGCGCCATTTTGCGGAATTCATCCAATCATATACAGTGTAACTTATTCCATAGTATGCGGGCCCCTACATGTGTATTATCAACCGGATCCATTCACTTGATTTGATATGTGTTTATTCGGTGCAATGCCTATTTTCTGTCTTGTCCGCAGGTTTATCTTGTAGATTTTTGTTTTGCGTGTAGTGCGGCCCCCTGCACTTACTTATTTAGTTCGTATCAGGAATAAACAACGAGAATTGACTTCTGATGTTTGGTAGAATTTTATTTAGATGTTATTAACGTAATTTTTTGAATATTTTTTTTTGTGTTAAAAACGTAAGCGCACGATTTTCGGGGTCCTCGACCTAAGCGCGCGGGCGAGGAGAAACAAGGAATCAATTCAACACGGCCTAAACTATGAGTTTTCATAGTATTTTTGTGTGAACTTCTAGTTATGATATATTACTACGTACCGCAGGTTGTAATGGTGGTAATGGTGTCTCAAACTGTGGTGTTATCAACGTTAGACCTTCATGTTTACATCGTAACTGTTCATAGGCACTGAAAAAATACAACATTTACTTCATAAAACAATAGGGCAGTAATGTGTCTCCGTACAAGGATGAATGAAATAGGGTTTAACGTCAAAAGGGCAATGAGGGGGGAATAATGCCTGAAGAGTCATTGAACACCAACTGTCAAGAGTTATTTTATGTGCATGCAGGATGATATAGATGCTGTTCCTTGCCAGTATCTCTGTTCACACTACTGAAAAGGGGTAAACCATGCTGCAAAATCTGAGAACTTTCTCGGCCAGAACAGGGATCAAATCCGGGACCTTCTTGTTAGAAAGAGAGAGAGAGAGAGAGAGAGAGAGAGAGAGAGATGGGGTTTAAAGTCCACTCAACACAAACTAGGTTATTTTGGGACTAACATATGGTTCAATTTTATTTCAATAATGCGCTTGCACGTAGGGGTCTTTAGCCGTGGGAGGAAACCAACAGACTTCGAGAAAACCCATGAGGTTGGACAGGCGACGCTATTCCTTGCCACGTACATCCGGGGATAAAAACCACACCAGCTGACTCAATGGCAGACTTATGATACAACGAGCTCATGCTAACCATTTGCCCATCCAACTCCCCCTCCTTGTTAGTGAGCCAGCACCTCACTCACTGAGTCACCTGAGTTTAAATAAGAAGTTGTCAAACTTACTCGATAGCTTTAGGTACAATACTTGTATCTAGTTTAAATAATGAGTGATCAAACAGTGTTGTTATATCACGTGGTATGTCGTCACTTTCTTGTAAACATGTTTTTAGCTCATCTGATAATCTGGCCGTGTCAGGGAGTTGATTGTAATCGGAAATCTAAAACAAAAACATTACAAAGATTAATATTTATCCATTGGAGGGTCTGTTTAGTAAATGAAATGAAATGAAATGTGGTTTAACATCCTACTGTTTTGCTCCGAACTGGGCTAATGAAGACGGGCATACGCCATACAGTGTGCTATGAGGGAAATTTTGCCCGGACATCCACACTATGGCCTACTCTTATATCGAATTCCAACTGTCAAGGGATCTTTTATGTGCACGCCAATGTGTACACGGGACCTTGGTTTTTCATACCATCCGAATGACTAGACAGCTGTGGTCTGTTCAGTATTTACATAGCTAAGATGAACTGTCAACTAGTGCTGGCGTGATATATTGTTGAATTGATGTATCACGATTCAGCTTCTCACGATTCAAGTATTTAATCGCGAGATGTTGAAGCGATTTTTTCATGATTCTTTTTGATGTTTTTTTGTCACTTCAGTAAATAACCCGTCACTCTTAATTATCCACATCACACATTATTCATATGTACACAAACACTCTTTAATTGTCTTGGTCCTTATTTTGATAAACATCTATATCGTGATATAAAAACAGTTTTATTTCTTCAACATTGGCTTGACTAAAAATATCAATTATTCCTTTATCCTGTTGTTTTCTTGGTAAATATTGACCTGGTTATGAATCGTGATACGAATCGTATCGTAGCACCTGGGACATGCTGAATCAATGCAAGTAGGACCAATGAGGGATGGACCAGCGACATGCTATATCAATGCAAGTAGGACCAATAAGGGATTGACCATGGTCATGCCCAAGTTAGCGAGTTGTATGTTTTATCCTGGCTGGATGAAAAAAATCCATGTGTCCTTAAACAAGACACATTATCTCAATATTGGGTATACTGGACTATACAAGGCAAGTTTAATGTAATATAAAAGTTCTGGACCCCAAATACTACTCACAAGGGAGGTAAGAACATAAATGGCCCCTCAAAAGAGATAACAACAGAAACGGATGCTCAAGGAAGTGAAATGAAATGTAATTGACAGAGCAACTTACTTCTGGATCTTCAGCATCTATAATATTTAATTTTATGTCATCTGTTGTTAGATATTGTATCAAAACATCCTTCAAAAAAAAAAAATGAAAATAAAAAATAAAATTATAATCTGAAAAGAGAACTTTTGAGAAATGAATTATCTTTGGTTATATACTATATTATTGGAATTAACTACTTTATCCATTACGAATATCTGAAATCGGCAGTCCCAGACATAATTTTGTAAATTGGAGGTGAAAGACTCTAGCAAATCTTTATCCTTGTCCTGTATAACTATCTGATGGTTTATGATACTTTATTAAAGAAATAAAAGTAAACGTAGTATTGGCCGTTGGTCCCTAAATTCCATGCTGTGCCTTGATAGCTACCCAAGTTGTACATGTATCTGATTGACATGATTATCAAGTTACTCATGAATTTCCTTAAATGAGATATGTAAAGACTAGCTGGCTACGGGCAGTCTACGGGGGACATTTTAGTAACCCCATGCGTGAGACTTACGCGTCGCTTGCATGTGTTCGTCACTATAGAAGATCACAGACCGGCTGTAGAGGCTTTTGGGCCAGCACATACAGAATTTTCACCCAGTTTTTTTAGGCTGGTCTGCGAGCTACCAAACCCTACAATCTGTGCATGTTAAAAAATATACGGCAGGTTGTGAGCTACGCTTAAAGCTGCAAATCTAGTGCTCATTTCCGAACTGCTAAATATTTTAATTTGAAATCTTCAGATAACGTAAATAGTACATATTGTCAGATTTTGATGTTTGATTCACATATTTAAACACACTTCTATTTATGGTGCCTTGTAAAATCTTTTAATTCCACAAAACAACACAACAAGACATAGACAAAACAAATACACTTCTTTGATTGGCATTTAGTAATTACAATAACAAACGCAATAACATGACACAATTAGATATATAATCACAGAAAAGATTATCAATAAAAATAAAAAAACATATTATCGAAAAACTGGAAATCTAAATAGGCAAATGAACAGTTAAACGGAGTAAATTTTATATAAAATAAGGGAAGATAACTCACAAGAACTTTACTGTTTTCTTCTTTATCTATATACTGATCATGGAACATGTGAACAGATCCTACAACAGCTAATTTACCTCTTCCTTTTATATTCATCTATATAAATAAATACAACAATAAATCATTAAATATATTCATTTAATATTCATGAGGTAACATATAATTACTCTTCTTGAACATCTTATACCACTTCTCATTTCATTTGAAGTGTTCATATAGCTAACAAACTTGTGTATGTATACCAAAAATTAAATTATGAAATATGGAAAAAAAATTAAAATATCGTTTTATAATATTCTATTGAAATGAAATGCTGCATCAGAACTAATGAAGATAGGCATACTATACACAGTGTACTATGAGGGCAATTTTACCCAGTAAATGGCCCTACAGTCTACTATTCTTTCGTATTTCAACTGTCAAGGGTTCTTTTATATGAACAGCAATGTGTACATGGGACCTTGGTTTTTTGTCCCATCAGATAAACTTGATGTTGTTCCTTGCTAGGTCCTTCGTCCTGGACCACTGACAAGGGGAAACCAATCCAAAATATCCTGAGGAACTTTCTCAGAAATATTATTTCACAGATAAGATTTTACATCCACCAAACACGACAATGTCAATATATGGTTATAATTTAATTCAGTATCTCTCTTGGACATGTGAATCTTTCAGCAGTGGGATGAAACCAGAAAACTCAAATATAACCCACATGGTTGGACGGACATTTATAATAAAGGCCAAGACCGACCAGCTTAGAAATGAAATGGGGTTTAATGTCCTACTGTTTACTCCGACCGGAATAATGATGACAGTGTGCTATGGGGGTAATTTTGCCCGGGCAGCGGCACTATGGCCTACTCTTATATCAAATTCCAGTGTCAAGGTATCTTTACGTGCACGCCAATGTATACACACAACCTTGGTTTTTCATCCCATCCATACGACTAGACAGCTGTCCTTGTCAGGCCCTCCTTCCTGCACCACAGACAAGGGGAAACCACGTCGGAAAATCCCAAAGAACTTTCTTAGCCAATGCAGGGATTGAACACGCGACCTTCAAGCTAGTAGAAATGAACGATATTCTCAATCTGGTTAAAACACAGATCCTGTTTCGTTTCATTTTTTTATAGTTTCAAATTTCGTTTTACTTGTCTTCACTACACTAGGATCTGGAAGAGTTGTTATATTGTTGAAATGAGGGATTAGCCAATGAATTGGTCTGTTACAGCAACTTCTTGGCATGCCATGCACAGAACTGTGGGTAAACAACTACAAATGTCAACGCTGATTGATTTATCAATGCCTGATGTCAAAAGCTCAAAGACCGCTTGTACGACCACTGACACAACTTTCCAGTACAACTTGTCTGATCTTCATGTAGTGTAGACCATCGAAAGTATAAAAAAACGAAACGAAAAATAGATCTGTATTTTAATCAGATTGCGATTTTCTTGGCCTCCCAGTAAACATGATTTAAAATATTTGCCGCACCTTTGAAGAATGTAAAGCACAGACAGGTCGGTTTAACGGGAAACAAACACTACCAGTTGATAACACGGCAAACGCAGGTTTTATAACATTTACTGTTGCACCATACGGATATAAAAAAGATAAAGCCCTGAAAAAATACAAAACATCCATATAAAACAAAATCCATAGCAATTAAATAACCGCTTCTAAAAATGAGAGAGAGAGAGAAATGGGGTTTAACGTCCACTCGACACAAACTAGGTCATTTCGGGACTAACATATGGTTTAATTTTATTTCAATAATTCGCTTGCGCATAGGGGTCTTTAGCAGTGGGAGGAAACCGGAGGACCCGGAGAAAACCCACGAGGTTGGACAGACGACCCTACTCCTTGTCACGTACAACCGGGGATTCGAAACCACGCCAGTCGACTCAATGACAGACTTTATGATACAGCGCGCACACGCTAACCATTCAGCCATCCAACCCCCCCCCCCTTCTAAAAATGAATATTCGGAATTTAGCTGCAGGGCTTTCATTACAAAATTTTACCAAACAGTCAATTTTTTTCCATATTATGTTCACTTCCAATTAGCATGATATTTTTTTCAAAGAATATGAAATTTTCTTTCATTATCCCAATTTTTGTGTATATTTTAAAGTTTTTTACATATCAAAACTCTAAATATATTGTATTCATTTTGTATTAAAGTAGCCAAGTCTCTAACTCAATATCTTCCAGTCTTCAACATTGCAAACACCATTTACTAGTCAATTTAAATCAACATTAATGTTGTTACCTTACCATTAAAAAATCGGGTTCTGATATCCAATATTTAAGACAAAATGAACATTTTAAAATTAGAACATGAATCACATGCTGGAATGCTTTCGAGTGTCATTTGTAACGAAGTGACTCGATGAACGAGGCTAAACATATCCCACAGGAGAATAGTACCGATGTAGACTGAAATAACCGGACGCCAAAGACTAACATTCAATTTGGACTCTTCACATATTTTGCCGAACATAACTGATTAAAAATTACAGTAAAATTAGAACTCATATATATACATCCATATTACATTATTATATGCGTTGTGACCTATTTGTATCCATTTCTAGTTGATAAAGAATACAGATTTAGTTCCTTTAAGGTTGTATTCTTTGAAATTCTAATTGTATGGCAAATAATTTGACTGTTTGACTGACAGCTAAATTCTCAAGATGATCAATTTCAGGGCCAGTCAGAAATGGAAATGAAATGAAATGGGGTTTAACGTCCTACTGTTCTGCTCCTATATTTGGCTAATGAAGACGGACATATGCCATACAGTGTGCTATGAGGGAAATTTTGCCCGGGCAACGGCACTATCGCCTACTCTTATATCGAACTCCAACTGCCAAGGGATCTTTTACGTGCATTCTAAAGTATACACGGGACCTCGGTTTTTCGTTTCATCCAAAGGACTAGACAGCTGTCCTTGTCAGACCCTCCGTTCTGCACCACTGACGAGGGGGAACCACGCCGGAAAATCGGGATGAACTTTCTCGGCCAATGCAGGGATCGAACACCCGACCTTCAGGCTAGCGAGCCAGCGTCTTAACCACCTAGCCACCGTGGCTCCCAGGGCCAGTCAGTCAAGATTGGTTAAATATTACTGAAATGAGAACTCTGGTTATCTGTAATCAATTTAAACTTACCGTGACGGGTAAATGTTACTCACCTGGATGTATTCGGCGGTATCTCTAACACCGAACATGATATGGAGTCAGGAATGGTATAATTAGATTGGAATAATTAAAAACTAAGTCAGGATTGGATTGATAAAATTTTGAATAAAAAAGTAAATATATGCAGAAAACTTACTGAGCATTATTTGTTTCTTCTTCTGCTCCAATAGCAAACGATTTTCCGGCCGCTTGACTGATAGCCCTGTAACATATTTAAACATAATTTAGTTTGACACCTCTGTAATATTCTTAACCGTCATTTTGTTTGACAGCTCTATAATATCTTTAAACATAACTAGTTTTTGAGACAAAAACTGCATACACACGTATATAATCCTTGAGTGGCATTTAGTCATTGAGCACACTAAAAAACACAACACAATTTATATGGAATACAATCACTGGTTTATACACATATAGCACAACATTTCAACAAGTATTCTCTTATCGTTATCATTTGTACTTGATAACGATAAGAGAGTACATGTTGAAACGTCGTGCTATATTTGTATAAACCAGTGATTGTATTCCATATAAATTGAGTTGTAATGGGGGTTTTTTTTGTATACACATGGTTTGGCATTGTGCAAATTTGATCATGATCTAGTGATATGTTCATATTAAAAAATGGCAGCCACAGAGGTTCAGTGAGTAAGCCACTGGCTCACTACCAGGATGTTTCGAGTTCGATCAGGGTGAGAGTCAAGTTCCTTAGGATTTTCCAGTGTGGTTTTCTCTCGTCTGGTGCAGGATGATGGACCTGACAAAGAACGGTGTCTAGTCCTCCGGATGGTTACGAAAAACGTCCACTCGACACAAACTAAGTCATTTCAGGACTAACATATGGTTCAATTTTATTCCAATAATTCATTGTATGTGGGGGTCTTTAAGAGTGGGAGGAAACCAGAGGACGTGGAGAAAACCCACGAGGTTGGACAGGCGACCCTTCTCCTTGCCAAGTACAACTGAGGAATCAAAACCACGCCACTTGACTCAATGACAGACCTTATAATACAACACGCAACTTCTGACACGTAAAAGAACATGAAACAGTAGTATGAATTTGTAATTAGAGTGGTTCGAGGCTCCGCTTTCCAGAGAGCACTGCTTCCACTAAGTAGATTGAGGTGTATAAAATAATCACAAACTTGCCCCCCCCCCCAAAAAAATCTCTTTCCCACTCAATCTTTTGGATTCACCCAAGTAGAGTCCTAACCACGATGCCATTACAATCCTGTTTTAAAAAATCGCCCCAGAAAGTCACTTACCTATTTAAAACACCGTTAGCTATTAAAGCTTCTTTAGGATGAAAATATTTATAGTATGAAGTTCTAACAACAGCATCTGAAATATTCAACAGCCAGTAAATTAAAGTGTTTTAAATAAAGCCACGCCTACTTCCATCAGTATTCCTTGCAATGTTCATTCTACACTGAGCTAAAGAATTTGTGTTTTAGTGGAGTTGTTTCCCTTTGCCAAACTACTGACTGCAGGCAAAGTGAGAGATAAATGGGGTTTAATGTTCATTCAAACAAACTAGGTTATTTAGGATGTGATGGATGAATAAAGAGGTTCACCCATGCATACCATTGGCAACACTGAAATATCCACAAACTGTTGGAAATCAAAATAGCCTGTACATGTAGCTTGATAAATGCAGTAAAGACATCCTACTGTTCTGCTCCGACTGGGCTAATGAAGACGGGCATACGCCATACAGTGTGCTATGAGGGAAATTTTGCCCGGGCAGCAGCACTATGGCCAACTCTTATATCGAATTCCAACTGCCAAGGGATCTTTTATGTGCATGCCAATGTATACATGGGACATCGTTTTTTTGTTCCATCCAAACGACTAGACAGTTGTCCTTGTCAGGCCTTATGCCCTGCACCACTGACAAGGGAGAAACCACATCAGAAAATCCTGATGAATTTTCTAGGCCAATAAAGGGATGGAACACCCAACCTCAAGGCTAGCAAGCCAGGGCCTTACCAACTTAGCCACCATGTCTCCCAGTAAAGACATTAGCAAAACCCTATTTCATTCCAGTTAATCCAGATTTAAATAGAAGCATTTTAATGAGAAAAACTACAGTGACGGAAAGAAGTCTTTGTCTCAAATAAAAACATATCTAACCTGAATTGACCATAATGCCAAATTCTTCCAATAGAAAGTTGATATTTGTGTTATATTTCGACTCTCCACCTTCTCCGATCATAATAAAAACACTACCACCATTCTCTAAATATTTCTTAATAGCATCAAACTACAAAATATAATCATGTATACATCAATAATCAATTGGGTTGTTTATTTTTTTAACAGTGATTGAGAAATTAAACACTTGTAAGTTATTGGACACTCATTATTAAAATTGAACAGTCAGCTTTAAACTGGACTCAAGTACAAATTAGGTGATTTTTGGTGATTTTAAACGATTTTTAGGAATTTTTAAACAAAGATTTGATATTAAACGAATGTGAAAGAAATTAGCGTTAAATACACAAGATTAAATGATATCCGGATTAAAGTGTTATTATCTAAACATTGTGTCTATGTATAATAACCCATGATTGTTCTTCTTGTCCCATATAACTGAGTTAGTTTAGAATTAAATCAGTAGACAGAATAAATTACCTCAGCAGCTGAAAACTTTTCTCTGGGTCCAGCAATGACAAAAACTCTAGCTTGAGACAGTTTTTCATCTGTGATTTCATCTTTGTTTCTAAAATTAAATTAAAAAAATGATCCTCAATTTGTAATGATCAATCAGAAAGTTCATTCAAAATACTGGGGGAAATATACATGTAAATGTTGCCACAAAAATTAGCAGGTAATTCTCAGGTCATGGGCATTAGTCACAAAATCTTAAACTAAAATGTTTTCAAAAATACAGTCCCAGAACCATTGTTTCAGCATCTAGTCTTCAAGAATATTGGACTTATGAGTTGTGATAATGAAGTTTATTTGAGTGTAAAATGAAACAAGAATTATAAAACTTACGCCACAAGCTTCCAAGTTGACCTTAACTTTCTATTTAATGTCTTAAAACCATTACTGAGTGAAAAAACTTCTCGTTTAGAACTGTTAAATAAGATCACGTTACTCTGATTTTTTTCATCCATTCCCTGAAATTAATAAATAAAAAAACTTAATAACATTCTCAAACAAATTTCTAACATTAAAATAATACTAATAGCCAACATGTATGATTTTAGAGATGAACTCTACAAATATATTTTTTCAATTATCATCATTTTCGTTGATAAAAGAAGATATATTAGCTTACAAAGTGTGAAGCTTAAAGGGCCAATCTCGATTATTTTTTGGAGAATAAAATTGCTTAATTTTGTGCTAAAAGTTGTTAAAATCCCCTCACTTAGGCCGAGCAACTAATTACTCAATAGATGTAAGGTTATGTGATATGTTTTCAAGAAACTTAAACCCTTCAGTCTTTATCTGGAAATGGAGACCGGTCTCTGGATAAAACCCAACTTTCATTTTATAAAATAACGTTACAGCTGAAATTTACCTTCTGTTATCAAGTACAGCATGTGGGTAGACCTCTGTATAGATCTCTAAGGAATGGCAATACATTATCAGGTCACCCAACGAAAAAAATAAGCGTGAAATTTTAAAAGGGTTACGTGTCCGGATAAGCAGTTTTGACGTTCGCAGCCACAGGACTCAATATTTTGTAATACCTGTAATGAAATTTAGTCAGGTAATGCCTGGCTCATGCCATACTGACTAAGAGAAAGACTAATTCAGTATCTGGTTGCAGACTCTACATGGCATATTAGTGAATGGAAAGTTTTAAATTACTATCAAAGGCCGGATTATTCAGTCTACTTCTACACCGGTAAAAAAATATCCCTTTTAACTGTCCGGCCATATTCTGTCCAAAAAGCTTACAGAGAGACTCTGCTGAGAGTCTTCGACTTCAGAAGAACAGGATCAATTAATTGCGAGTCGAAAATGACAGCTCTAATTCTAATATTCACTAAACAGGACCTTTTTACTCGAAACTCAAACAACCGTTTTACATGAAATAGAACACAAATATGCCCGAACTCTGGAATTAATAGAAACTGAATGATAAGAATGGAATAATATGAAATTTTACCTCAACTGTAGGTGCCATATTGTTTATGAAGAAACTATGCCGTGTTGAATTATGGGAAGGGTTTCAGAACGGCAGATTCGATTTTACGGAGATCTAATTGGTCAATAATCCAACCACCGACTACTTTCGATTTATTTCCTCCCGGTTCGAAAATAAACTTTATTTTTTTAAACTCTCAAATCTTGAATATGTCAAGGAACCCCTACAGAATAATAATAACTTTATTTAATAAAATCATAATCTATAAACTCAACAATTAAACTGTTTTATTTCCTTTAAAAATCGATTAAAATTTAATAGAGCAGATAGTCAGGTCACAAGCCAGAGTTCAAAGTTCAGAGAAAGGGGGCGGGAGAGGATAATATTGTATTGAGGAGGAAGATCCGATCTAAATCTAGTAATACCGTTATTGAATTTATATGGAGAAGTTATGAATTAGGACGTAAGTTCTTTCTGTATTTACCGCGATGCCCATTCTTTAAAATTGAATGTCTTCACAGTCAAAAATGTAATAATTATTAAAACTGATTATCTTGACCAGCACTTTTCTGACGTAAATTTATTAAATTAAGAATAAGATTTATAATTTATTTTATTTGCTTTTGCAATTAATATAGGGTGTAGCCTTCAATTTACAAAATATGGATATCAAATTCCAAAATAGACTGTACTCAATAACACATGAGGCGGAGAGAGACTGAGAGAGAATTAAATGGTGTTTAACGTCCACTTGACACAAACTAGGTCATTTCAGGACTAACATATGGTTCAATTTTTTATTTCAATAATTTGCTTGCGCGTACCGTTCTTTAGCAGTAGTGGAAGAAAACCGAAGGACCCAGAGAAAACATATGAGGTTGTCAAGTACAACCGGGGAATCGAAACCATGCCTGCAGTTGACTCAATGACAGGCGGCATGCCGGCATTATGATGATTTAAAACGCGCATGTGCTAACCATTTGGCCATCCAATCTCCCATGAGGCGGAGAGAGAGATAAATGAGTTAAATCATACTCTGCTCCGTCTGGGCTAACGAAGACTGAGGGAGGGAGATGGGGCACAAGTTCATTTTGGCCAAAGTAGCCTACTGTGTGTGGTCTTAAAAACATGTTAGCAGAACGTGCAATAGCCCTTTGTCGGCAATATCACTTCAGTGGAAGCGGACATTAAATAAAGCTATTTCATACACACACACAAAACAACCTTTGTGTATGGCACATAGATATGTCCCCAGGAATTGAGAGAGAGAGAGAGAGAGAAATGGGGTTTAACGTCCACTCGACAGAAACTAGGTCATTTCGGGACATATGGTTTAATTTATTTCAATAATTCGCTTGCGCGTAGGGGTCTTTAGCAGTGGGAGGAAACCGGAGGACCCGGAGAAAACCCACGAGGTTGGTCCCCAGGAATTAATTCTTGAGTGAAAGGGGTAGAAATATTTGACTGAATCAAAGGATTTTAGCCAAGCATTTTTGCATTCATTCTGTCAAAGAAAATATATATTTATCGTCAAAAACATTATCTTACTATTTACCACAATAGAAATGAAATGAAATGAAATGGGGTTTAACGTCCTACTGTTCTGCTCCTATACTGGGCTAATGAAGACGGGCATACGCCATACAGTGTGCTATGAGGGAAATTTTGCCCGGGGCAGCAGCACTATCGCCTACTCTTATATCGAATTCCAACTGCCAAGGGATCTTTTACGTGCATTCCAATGTTTACATGGGACCTCGGTTTTTCGTCTCATCCGAAGGACTAGACAGCTGTCCTTGTCAGGCCCTCTGTCCTGCATCACTGACAAGGGGAAACCACGTCGGAAAATCGGGATGAACTTTCTCGGCCAATGCAGGGATCGAACACCCGACCTCCAGGCTAGCGAGCCAGCGCCTTAACCACCTAGCCATACCACAAAAGAAGTTCAGTCTATAATTGTGGCAAAGCCACTATTTTGCAAGAGTGTGGCACGATGCCATGGATCTAGCGAATTAACTAACTAGAAGATTCCTCTGGATTTGCCATCATATGGCTTCACCGTATCAGTGGTGCAGGACAGAAAAAGTATTTAGCCATTTGGATTGGACTGAAAAGCACAAGGTCCTGTATTTAGGCTACCATATGACAGTACGTTAATGATCCTAGTATAGCCTATTATAGTAAGTTGGAACAAGATATAAGAACTTAGGCAAAATGTCCCTCGTAGCACAAAGCCATCTTCATTAGCCTAATTAAACATACATTATGCAAGAGCTAAATCTGTCTATTGCAGGTCTTTCTTTTGGCCTGAAATGTTATCTAAATTATTAATTAGACATTAATTAACTTATCCAGACAATAATCAACTGTCGATGGCATCGGGTTTCTCCGATATTAAATAGATTAGAAAGTTCAGACATATTTTGATTTAATCTATAAATGGTGGAGCAAGACTTAGCTTCGAACAACCAGTACTGTGGTTGAAATTATTGTCAAACCTTCAAAGGCTAATATCTTTGCTCGCAATTGAGTAATTTGGATGAAATTTTCAAATTGTTCATTTTACATTATCTATTTTTGAACTATTATAGCAAGAATGGCTAGCTCTTTATCTAAATTTTACATAATGTATCTTTAAATAATGTATCTTTTGGATGCAGAAAAGTAGGACATTAAACCTCATGACAAGGATAGTGTGTCATTTGGATTGGTTGAAAAACTGAGGTACACCAGTGTACTCAAATGCTGTTGTCCTGACAACATAAGCATTAAAAAATGAATAAGAGTTGGCAGAAAACATGCTCATAATAATTATAGGAATAAAAATTACCATAGAGGCGTTTTTTACGAGGAAACAAATCGGTTTCGATTACCTATCTCGTTTTGTATATGACATAGGTCTCGAGTTGGTATTTGATCCGGTTCTCGTAAATGTTTTTTTTCGGGTTCTCAGGTTTCTTCCCACTGCTAAAAGACCTACACGCAAACAATTTATTGAAATAAAATTGAACCATATGGTTAGTCCCGAAATGACCTGGTTTGTGTCGAGTGAACGTTAAACTCCATTTCTCTCTGGATTTACGCTTGTCAGTGGAGCAATACAGAGAGCCAGACAAATAAAAAAAAAATTTCTTGTTTTTCGGATGGTATGGAAAACCAGAGGTTTACCTGTGTAGTCGTTGGCATGCCAAATTTTCCATATATCATGCTTGCACACTGCTTTGCATAGGCCTGTCCCCATCTTCATTAACCCTTTTTTTGAATTGTCAGATATCCTCTCATCGTCTCATATAATAACTTTTCATCTTCAACTGAATTATCAGTGAAATGAAATTCGATCGTTTGTCTGTTATCGCTCGTTACTTCAGTCAGTTATATAGAAGGACAACTCATGTTTGTCATGTTTGATGTCACTTCCCGTTTCTTCACGTGCTTGTTACACATCTCCCGTAGCAATGATCTCTGTGTTAAAATTATATTTGGGATGTATTTAACGAGCTCTATCACATATTTTATAATGACTGGCACCAATATTGTCCTTTAAACCCCATTTCAATACCAGTGCATTTAAAATTTATATGGGAGATAACTCTTATATGATTGCAAAAGTTAAGAACTTTAAACTGTATAGGACGAATTTGTCTCTTCACTGATTTTGATCAAATAATTATAGAAGTGCTTAATTATTATGGACAGACAGATGGGTCATGAGGAACAAAGAATTAATTAACTGCGGCCTTATGTGGGTGTATTAAATTTGTGTAAATTGTGTAAGTATGAAAGTTGAGGAAATATTGATATTATGTAAAGAAAGAGTATATACCTGACTTACAAGCTATCAGTAGGGTTGGTCCTAGTTTCAACCAGGAAATAAACCAAATAAATTAGTTTGTTTTACTAACCATAATTCAAGGTCAAATGTTTTGGAAGTTATCAGTGTAATATACTCTTGAAAAAAGTAGGGGATATTCAGAAACAATACAAAACTGCGGAAATGCACTGCTGTTTTTATTAGAGGTAACCAGTGTATGTTAATAACAGGCCAATTGCCTACATAAACAGTTCATATGGGCGGCTTATCTGACGGTCCCATTTCACTCGCAAAGAGATACATGTACACCGTCAAAAATGAAAATGGACGTTTTTGATTTTTGTCTTAATAATGAGTAATTGCTCCACCAATCCTCAGACATTCAGCAATATGTCGTGTCATGCTCCTAATCAACCGTCCAATCACGATTTGGGGCAATCTGACCCTCTCCTCTTGCAGTGCCATGCTCAATTCGTGCAGTGTTGTCGGTTGATGTTGACGTCAACAAACACGTCTCCCGATCAAATTAAACGTAACACACTAAAGCAAAGATACGCTAAACAGTAAATCTTATACAAGAACCGATAGGAAAGCAAACATGGATAGATAAACCAGCATGCAGCAGTTTTCATCAACCCTTCCTTGAAGTGTCAAATTTGACAATGAACCCCTTTCACGTGTATGGCGCTATTGCGTGTCGCATGTGCAGCTCAGTGGTTCTGTTGGGGCGATAAGTTCTTCATCTGTGAACATACTCTCAAAGCATGTCAAATGTCGCAACCTGCATAGGTATTTACATTTCGATATCCCCTACTTTTTTTGAAGAGTATATATTAAAGATACTTTCCCACAAAAGTATTTATTGGGTGGTTATTTCCAATAAAAGTATGGCAAATTTTGTATATATAGAAAGTATAGACGCCCAGTCTTACAAGAAAATTACTGGAATACCCGAAAAACAACCAACGGGACAAGCATTGGGAAAAATGTCAGGGTATCACTAACTCGCAACCCGACGGCTTATCCGACAGCTTGTTGCATGTTAGCTTGACTGAGGGAGCGGTTGTTATTTCTTGATCAAATGGTTAGGCGGTTTTGGGGACATTGAGGGGTGTTAATGCGCGAAAGACTCTGCAATTAACTCTGCAATTAAATGGTGGAAAAGAAGTTAACAGAAAATAATTAAGAATTTACTTAAGCCTCAATATGTATGGTAAATGGACAGTAAGTAATGAAAATTACATTCTG